ACACAAGCTTCCTCCCTGAGAGGTGACAAGCTGGGGGGGCAGTGGTTTTTGAGGTACAGTGAGAAACAAAAGGGTCCTAGCCCTATCTGGGTAGGATGAAAAACAAGGATCCCATTGTAAGGACATGAATAACTCATCCAGACACATATCCAACACCACACTTAGTCCTTACTAAAGTGACTTCGCAAATGAAGTAGGAGAGTATATGGTGACCTTTAAAAAATGTTCAAACTTTCAGAAAGAAATTTGCTGAGCAGACTAGATCTATTATACATCCAAGTACATGTCTTAGCATATGTGTGTGTTTATGCTTCTACTGTCATGTTCTTGTCTATGGATAATGGTCTTCAAGATACTTTAGAAACTATCTTTGTACTCAGATTTCCTAAAACATGAAATTGGATGATTGTTTATAGAGCTGCTGGTCACTTTTGATTGTACAGATGTTCTGGCTGCAATGTTAACCAACAAATTTAGGTTCCACTTATATTTTTACTTACACTAAATTCATCTCACCTATCTTGAGCAGTGTAGCATGGGAAAGGTGGTGGGGGACGAGAAAGACTGTGCCAGAACTGATTTGCTTATCTTATAGAATTCTGCATTCAGCCCACCAATGCACCATCACCCCTCTTAGACCACATAGCATGTGGCTTTTCCTTTAGCAACCAGAACCCAGAGAAAAATCAGAAAAGAAACAAATACTGATTATCTTCTGTGAACTAGAAACTATTAAGCTCCACTGCAACTTTTTGACCTAACATTCAACTAATATTTCAAATTACCTGAGCCCCAAATTATAGATGAGAAAAACTATCAATTGAGGCTGAGTCACCAAGCCAGTTCTCAGCATACTGAAATCATAGGGCTTACTCTAAAATGCCTGCTTTCCCATCACACAGCACTGCACCAAGAGCATACCTATTCACAGACTCCTGAAGGGAAACACAGAGGGACAGAAGGGGCAACTGGGTGGAAACCATGTATTCTTCCACCACTGTCTAAACAGACTCACTAGAGCTGACGAGTTCCTCATTCACAGGGCTAAGGCCAAAACTGCGTGAACACTAGAATGGGAATCAGACGTGTAGCCTCACTTCTGCTGCCACTATAGGCATGCAGTGTCAACTTGGGAAGTCATATAACCTCCCAGGACTAGTTTCTCAGCTACAACTAGACAATTTCAGCTCTGACCACTCAGTCTTTGAAACCGTCATATCTCAACTTACTGTTCTCAAAAGTATCATTCCATCTACATCAGAAGATGAAATACCTGCTAGAACCTTCCAGAACTTAGAAGAGGAGGGAACAATAAGAATGACAGCTATTAAGACATTATCAGGCAGTCCACAGGTAGAGTTGCTAAGGTCAAACTACCAGCCTTGGTGCCCTCTAAGGAGGAAGTTTTGGACCTGGTTCTCTCATAGACCTCTCTGCATCATCCTGTGACAAACCACAAATACTTGCCACAAAATGTGTGCTTTATAGGATTTTCAAAGCATATGCTGAGGGGAAATGATATAATAGAAAATGTCATAAGCTGATCATCAGGAGTCAGAGACTCTACGGTCAGCTCTGTCAGGTACTAAGTAAAACCCCAAGGCACATTATTTTCTTCACTTTGAGCTCAGTCATCATCAGGATGGGTGATTCAACACTCTTTAAGGTCTCAGCTCATTGACAGCTCCTCATGTCACCAAGATATATGATCCTAAACCTAACCAATCATGACAGGTGTCTATTCACACATAATGAAGTATAGTATCAGATTATTGCCCCTCATCCAGGATTCTGTAAGGATTACTAAAATTGGGTGGTGCAACAGATTAAAGTGCAACACTGTGAATTTATCTGCAGCCACTGCAGCAATAGTTCAATCCTTGCAGGGAGCTGACCCACAAGGCACAGCAGAACTCTCCTGTCCCACCCACTGCTCCCCTCAGCAGTATACTTCAATACATCTGCCTGTTCTGCTCCCACTCTGTCTCTGGTGAGTCCTCTCACCACCTTCCCTCCCACCCTTCTGGCCTGTACCTGGCTCTTGTATGCATAAATAAATAAATCTTTAAAAAAGGGGGATTACTAAAAATGAACTCATTGATTCTAAAATGGAGGGAGAAAATAGCATTTCCTTGGAAATCTCGTGAAATTGATACAGTTAAGTTATTATAACTCTTTTTTTTTCTGTTTGAAAATTTGCATAAAACACCTGGATAAAATGGAAGGGTTACTGTATGTTAACTACTTAGTGGACAATTAACCCAGATTTCCTGAGTGTGAATATTTTATTAAGTATGTTACCAGAGGGGTCGGTTGACCCCAGTTAATGCTGTGGTTATATTGCAAACTAACACAAACGCAATTTGTCTTCAAGTTTATGACTAACAACATAGAATGAACTTCATGAAGGCAACCTGCAGGCACATTGCAAAGCTGATACCAGGCTGAGTTTTATTCTTAAGAGAGACGCTAGTAAACTAATGGTGGTTAACATAACAAAGCTGCTTTATCCATGCTAGAAGTGTCCCCAAGCACTCTGAGCTGAATAACAACAGAAAAAAATTAAATCAGACTAAAAACAACAGCAACTCTGATAAAATGAACATAAAGGATTTAAAATATTCTGAGGGCAAACTGCCAAGATCATGTAAAACAGCAATTTAATTTCCTATGCATGTGGGAATCCTAACTGGACCTTCATGGGGCAATGAATGATTCAGTGTTCTCCAAGGTCTCTTTTGCTTCTATTCTAACATGTCTGTTGACATGACTATTTGAGTCCCTAGCTTGACAGAAAATTAAACCTCCACAGCATGTTCAAACTACTCCATTCAAGAATATGCGCTGCCAGACCATAGACCATATGCCACTACTACTGGTTCCTCGTCCCGGAGACTGAGCTACATAATTAAAGCACACGTGAGTACTGGAAGTCACCACCCTCACCCACATAGCTGGGATTATTGTTGGAGTTTCCAAGAGATGAGAGACAGACTAGAGAGAGAATTAAACACGAAGCTCATGAGCACACACACGTACTTAATCCAGCTTCTAATGGTAAAGACTAAATAGCACCTGGCTATCTATCCAGGTCAAAAATTCTACTCTGCCAATCAAATTCCAATGAGAAGTTCAATTCCACATGAAATTGGCATGATTCTGCCCAATCAAGAGCTAAGGCAGGTAACAGGAAGGCAGACATACACATCCGTCAGTAGCCCTACATCAGTTCCAGTGGGTTTAAAATGGCTTCTAGCCTACAAGTATAGGGATAGCCACCTTTGGTCTTTGTACTAGAGTGAATACAATGCATTTCTGTTGGCAGACCTTATCATCCAATTGCCTGTAGAGACTGGAGATCTCCTCATCATACTTTTCCTTCTCCTCTGCAGAGATGCCAGCAACAACAGGAGTGATATTGTCTATGATGGGGGTATTATCACAGGGCTCCAGGGTCTTCTGGTCCTTCGCACTGATTTGTTCCTCTTCAGGCACAGCTTCTCCTGTAAATTAGCACAGTGGAGAGGATCTGAGTATTGAATAAATTCAGCATGCAATCCCTGTAAAGAAGGTTCTAAAAAGTCACTCCTGTAAAAATGACACACAGGGAGCCCTCCCTGGTGGTGCAGCAGGTTAAAGCGCAGCACCAAGAAGCTAGATGCAGCCATTTCAGCACAAGTTTGATCCCCTGCCAGGTTGCTGACCCACATGGTGTAGCAAACCTCTCCTGTCTCACCCACTGCTCCCCTCTGCAGTGTACTTTGTCAATCTGCTTATTCTGCTCCTCACTCTCGGTGAAGCCTCTCACTACCCCTGCACCTCAGGCCTTACCCCAGTTCTGTATGCATAAATAAATAAATCTTTTTTAAAAAATGGCACACAGGATGCTATAACAAAGAGCTATTACACAGAGTTTATGTTCTATTTTACAAGAAAGGTTGTAGTTAATTGACTAATGCTAGTCTGAGGAATAAGAGGACTACAATATTCCCCTTCTCATTAAGTGACCTGTTCTGTCAACCACAAAAGCGCTTAACTAATCCAGCTTGCAGCAATATCCTATTTTGTTTGCACACACTTTCCTTTTGTTGAGTAATATGCTGGGGCTGTATTAGAATCATAGTCCCTCTAGTGATTGATTCACAGGGAAGCAAACCTCTGAGGCCTCCTAATCACCGATTAATTATGTTACCAATTAATTAATAAGGAACAGTTAAATTAATGAACCAATTCAGCACAATTTAACAGAACTCTGTGGGACCCAAATTCTCCGGATCTGAAGCAGGAAGTCAGGGTAAACCTAGACCAGGAAATCTACACTAACTCCAGCTTCACTAACACCATCTACCCCAGGAAATCAGAATTAACTGGCTCAGTGGAAAGTTCAAAGAGAGTAATTTTCTGCGATGTCCAGTAGACCTAGGAAAGCAAAAGCAGCCAACCCAGAATGTAGTCTGGAGGGGCTGGAGTCTACACAGCCCCTTGTCAGCCTGCAGAACAGTGTTTCTTAGAGCGTTCAAAGGGAGAATTACCAAACTTGACAAAGCAAACGGAGGGGAAAGTGACATTCTTAGGCTGGCCAAAGGCAATCCTCAACAAGAAAATCACCTTGTAAAAACAAAAAGCATACAAAAAGGATTCTATGAGAACCATGCAGCCCAATGGAGTCTCGCAAATATCTTCTTGGAAAGCAAACCCAAACCAGCATACTTCCCCATTACCATCAACTTCACACTTAGTTTGCTACAATCAGTGAGTGTCTGCAGTGTTCCAAGGCTCATTCCAGCTTTCAGCCCATAAAAAGCATTTTGTGGAAACTCCCTGGGAACACTACCCTGGACCAAGGGATTTTTCTCAAAACAAGACAAAGCAGAACTGGGATGCTAATCCACAGCTTCCTTAACAGAGTCTCTCATGCCTCAGGGAACTCACTTAAACACTGTATACAATTATCTCAATATAAACAAAACACTTGTGATGGGTCAACTTTGCTGCTTAAGATTCCATTACCTTGCTGGATAATCATAAAATGGTGCTGATGGGCCTCCATGTCGAATAAAATTAATACCTGATGACTACAACTTTTGTACTACTGTACCTTTTGAAACAGCAACTTGGAATAAACAAAATGTGTAAAAAAAATATTATTTTGCTAAATACAAAACAGAACCAAGCAAGCTTGCTTCTCCTAAAGCTCAGCAAGGCTGTACCATACCTGTCGTTTAGTAAAATTACTGACCTGAAACAAAAGCAGAATATCAGAGTAGCCTCTGAACTGAACCTGAACCAAATCAATGTTTCATTCAGTTCCAATGCCTGGTTTAAAACATCTATCAAAGACCTTTCTGTGCAAACTGGATTTCATCCAACTAAAGAATCTATATTCTCTACAGCCTTCTAAGTTCACAAGTTATAAAAGCAGTCCCATGTTCCAGACCCTAAGGATTGAAAATATATATGTATTTTCTTCTCTAACCATAGTCTATACACTAAAGTTTCAAAGTCCTTCCTTGCCTGATCCAATTCTAGTTCCTTGCCAGAGAAATGCACCACTAACTCTGAGTAAGGTCCTTCCCCTACTTGAATCATGACTGTCTCTAATTTTTCAATTCTAGCTTCTTCAATTTCCAAGTGGGGCAATTCAATACATTGTGAATTTAATCTTCCAGCTAAAGCATGATAAAGGAGAAATTCCTAACTGGCCTGCAGCAGAACTCAAACTAAATATGATTCTATTGCCCATATGCCAACTCAACCCCAGTGCAAAGGAAAGATACAAAAAGTCCTGTTCCACGTGTTCTTTGGTTCCAAATGGCCTGAGGCTGTAGAACCACAAGCCTGCAAGGGCTAAAGACCCTTGGATTCATCTGGGCAGGGAGCAGTCAGGGGTGAACCCCATATAACAGATGCCAAGTGACCTGCCGGAAACAAAGCCCTTTCCTCCCATTGCAGAATTATAGCATCACAAATCTACAGATCCAGCGAGTAAGCCAGCTCTGCTAGGTGTCATCCTGCAAGTGACCACAGACTTGCATACACATCTCCAGTGCTCCAGGGCCAGCACCAAGCTATGTTGCAACTTTTAACATCTCATTAATCACAAGTCCACTTTCTGATTGTCTCTTGATTTTCTTTTTTGTAAATGAGAGGGGAAAAAATAATGGCTCTAACAGTTGTTTAACAGCTTAACTAAAATAGCATATGTAAAAAACATAAGAGATGTTCTTATGTGAAGTCCATCTATTATTCCTGCCTCTCCCTGGCAAACTGTCTTTTTTTTTTTTAAGACTGCAGAAAAATGTCATTTTTACTTATTCTGAAATTAGTGTTTCTGGGGTCTTCACAATAGTGTAATAGTTGGAACCAGTTCCAAAAGTGAAAATGTAAAGCACCACCCGACCGTGTGATTTCCTTTCAAGTTCAGTTTTATTATTATTAAAACAATATTTAAAACATGTAAGAGACTTATTTTTCTTTTGAAGAATTCTGAATCAAAGCATCAACAAGTCACCCACAAAGCGACATCTAAACAACCAGTTCTTGCCAGTTTCTATTCTAAAGGTCAGGCAGTTGGGATTATTTTCTGCAGCAGCCCTTTAGGATTAGAAGACCAAAGCAGCAGCACGCAGGAACAGAAGCAGCAGGCACCTGGAGAGAGCACCGTTCCTGCTCAGAGAGGAAACCAGGGGCTGGTTTTCCAAATAACCGCTGTCCTTCAAAGGACCGAGAAAATGACTTCCAGAAGCATCCCTGGTAACTACACTGTCCAGTTCACAAACACGTCTGGGGATTATAAATTCCCAACACTATGCAAGACCTGACAGTAAGCAATCTGTCTCCATGGCAATCTCACCACGTTAATCGAGAATATTCCCTGCACTGCAGTGGCCTGATTCTCCAGAGAAACCCCCATAAGGTGATCACAGAATGACAGATGTAACAAGAAAGACAGCTATAAACAAACCCTGGAGAAATGCACCCTAAAATCTGTGGTGGGAGAATGAGAATAGGACCACCAAATGTAAATTACCATCTATTTTTAAATTTATTTTAATTTATCCCCTGAGGCTTATATCTGCTGTCTATAGGAAAGTGCTTGTAATATTGTAAAGCACTTTATTTTCTAGAATAAAAGTACCCCCTTCCCCCCTCCCCCCCACTAGAAACCTTTTTTAAATAAGCATCCTGGCATTTCCTATTGTCGGATGTAATTAACTTTAAGGAGTAAAAAGATTTGTGTGTACACAGGAGCATTCACTTAGAGCATACCTGTAAGGTTTACAGTGCATTTTAATTATAAAATGAAAACTCTCAGAAGGCGTAAATAACATTTCTATAAAAAGCAGAAATCCATCAATTGCAGTAAATAAGAATGACCGACTAATCAAAAACTCTTGTTAGGAATATTAGCTAAAAATGCTAAACCCAGGATTTTGGGTTTGTTTCATTTTTAAAAGGAAAACCACTAGACTGCCAGTAATTCATTAAAATTTCACACATGAAATAGCAACGAGCTAGTTATCCTTTTCAGAAGTTGAGTCCCTGAAGTCTCTGGAGAACACAGAAAGGTAATTGCATTCTCTCGGCAACTTCAGGGAAGAGATTTGCTGGTCACTCACAGTTTTGACCAAACCCACAGCAGATCTGGCAAAGGAGGTGCTTTCTTTTAATACCAATTAAACAGGCCCAGTGGCAGACCTAATGGTAGGTAATTTCTATATCAAAGAAACGAAAAGGAAATCTTTGAGTTGCCAGATGGATAAGAGCAGCTGGTTACAAGATGTCATTATATAAACGTGAGGTTTAAGAATAAAATCATAATCCCATAAGGGATTATTTTGTACACAAATAACATCTTTCAGCCTAGGTCCTAAAAATATTGTAAGCAGCTTAAAACATTCTGTAATGCCTTCCAGAGTAATTTTCTAATAAACTGGTCACCCAGGACTCTACACTCTCATTACATTCCTTACCTCCTGGATAAATTACCCCATTTGGCTACAAAGATACTCCTAGGGGTCAATATTTCTGCTGGTGTTTAGCCGTGCTCTCAAGAGTAAATTTGATTTCTGAAATGAAATGCTAACTTCTGAGCTTCCACTGTAATCATGAATCAGAGAGGGGAGACTACATCTTCTACATATTTAATACTAGCAGAGTCAAGTGTGTTCTAGCTGTGGAGGCTGCATTAATTCCACAAAAGCCCGGGCTGGACTCAAGGTTACAGATTTTCTTGTTAGGAAACCAAGTCTGCTGATCTGGCAGGTTCCCACTTGGAAACAAATCTGCTTTGGAGATTGCCGATATTTCCACACCTTCTCAGCCAGTGATGAAATTATTTTCTTTGTGTGACTTCAGCAGATGGGAACTATATACACTCTGTTATTTAGCATTATATTTAATTATTCTAGATACTGCAGATGTGTCATATTGCCAGGTTATTTTTCTGTACTCCTGATACATGGATTTTCAGGACATTCATTTTCTGACTTCAACCCTCATA